CACACACACACACACACACACACACACACACACACACACACACACACTTGCAATCATTCTTTGAGGTATCAACTCACCTCAGGTCTGCCTGAGCGCCGACAAGGATGAACGGAGTAGTCGGTGAGTGTGAACGAATCTCTGGCAGCCAGACTTCCTCCACATGATGAAGCGAATCCGGCCGGATGACAGAAAAGCAGACGACAAATACGTCAGTTCCGGGGTATACGCTATGACGAAACTTGGGGTTCTCCTCCTGGGAAAAAACACAAGAGAAAATAGAAATGATTCACACTGAAGAAAAAGGGATTTAAGAAAAATATACCACATTGATCTGTCCCCTGTGGGAAATTTGGGTATCATAGCACATACCATCCCTACTACTGAAAGTAAAAATAAAGGTGGCATTAGCAATATTAGAATCTCATAAAACAAATACATGTACACGAAACAGATTTGTAGGCCTAGGTTACGCCAGTGCAACTCCTAGCAGTGCCCATCTACTTCTTATATAAACGCCAAGTCATCGACATTCCTTGACATTATACTATTATAGTGATTCAGAACCCACAACCGCTCTGCCGCTGAAGCCGAGGAGTGAAAAGACTAAAGAGTTAAACAGTACAAGATGACTATAATTATGAAACTCTCAATAAGTGACTTGTACAGCAAAGATAGTGTATGGCCAGAAAATCCAGCGCCGAAAGCGTCCACAAAAATGGAAGAAGACCATCATTCGAGCGCAGGACAACAAATTAAAAATACATGTAATTGAATCGTTACACGGTTGTATCTGCGCCAATGTTATCATCTCTCCAAGCAGCCAAGCCACCTTTTTCCCCCTTTTTATATCTGCAAGGTAAACAGATATGTTGTTCCATTTTTTGTAGGTAGTATTTACGCCCCCATCGAAATGATTTAGATCTTTTAGGAGGCGGGTTTCAGACCCTGCCTGCCAGGGCTCGCACAGGTTGAGAGGAATACAATATTACAGTACAAGCAAACAGACCCAGATACTCGAAAAAATGTACCCCCACTCGAGAATCGAACTCTCGTCTTCTGCGTGCTAACAAATTAGTTTATAAAAGAAAACATCAAGTTGCAAAGACTTGTAGTCTAGATCTACGTGATCAGAAAAAAGAAGGCCTACAAACTAAATATCCTGCTCTACATTGTATAGCGTCTCTAGTGGGTGGTACTTGTGTGATAAGCGTTATGCTAGTTGAGTGCTTCTACGATACTTACAGCTTCCACGGTGTCGATAATTTGCATTTGAACCTTCCGACCTGCAACCTTGACAGATCCTGAAAAAGGGTAGAAAATGACACGTTATTTGTCTGATAATTCTATTTCAAGATCAAGTAATATTTATCAATGAATACATCCAGTGACACACTTCACATCATTCTGTTTTAAAAACTCTCAATATCAGGTACAAAATATATTAATACATGTATTATTTAAAACATTTTCCATAAACAATATTATAGATGACAGCTTGACACCCTTGTATTTTCATTACGTGGGCCACTTACAAAGCTGTACGTTCCAAATTTGTAATTTGCATTTTTATCAACCGTCAAGAAAACGCCAACTGACATCTACAGTTTCTCGTAATAGTGCAAAAGACGTCATTCAGATTTTCACGAGAACTTGACAACGTATCCACTATCTCTGAAAACGTGCACAAACGCACGGAGGTCAGAGGAGCGCGCGCGTAGCTGGTTGGAATGTGACCTCACAGTGATGTCACACGTGTACATGACATCATAGAGTGGTACAGTAACATAAGTCTTACAGTTCTTGACCTTAAGTGGACGTGTGTCTTGTTCACGTCCTAATGGTTGACCATAGGTCAGTCTATTATGGGTAAGGGGTAAGTTACCCAATGACTTTTTTGTTGTTGTTACTGCTGCTGCTGCTGTTGTTGTTGCTGTTGTTGTTTTTGTTTTAGATCATCTAAGAGGTGGGCTTATAATTTCTACTCTGCATGTCGAGGCCAACCCGGGCTGAGAGAGATACAATGTACAGCTTCCCAGCAGAAAGACAGAGATACTCCATTTTAAAAAAAAATGTTTCCGAATTCGGGAATCGAATTTGAATCTCTTGTGTGCGAAAGCGAAGTGCCTAACCAATACACCATAGACGCAGGTATAACTGGTTTATAGAGATTATAACATTGATAAAAGGGAATTATGATAACAGTAAAGCGGCCTATTTTTCCGAAGTTGCAAAGTGGTTGGTATGAGTAAGGATATTATCAGGTGGGAATGACTTTCAAAAATAATGCTGACGTTCAATGTGTTTGCTAGAAGAAATGGTGTAAAAGCTCTCTCTCTGTTTCTCTCTCTCTCTCTCT